ATAGTATAGATCTCAGCACATTTGGTACAAAGACTTCTGACAGTCGATGAGAAGCACACCAAGCGGACTTTGTCACGTATCAACTAAACCTTTTGAGATAGATTCGGCAGTGTTTTGTGACTATGGAGAAAACGAGGGCCCGTCATTTCACTCAAATCAAAGCACCTTGGTTAACACCAAAGATTAACGAAAACTGTTCCATCAGCTAAGAAGGTTATGGTATCGGGTCTCTAGGATTATGACAGTATTCAGACGGTATATTATATACAAAAGGGACAAACAATCAATGGCACATATAATGCATCACTTCTAAGGCTTTAAGAAAACATGAAACTCAAGCGTTGTGGAAAATCCAGTAACCCTGTTCACAAGTCTGTCATTGCCAAGGCTGCCATTTTCATCTATTTCTAAAATTGAAAAGGGGCATTTCCAGTACCCACTTCCGGTCAGATGATGACGCCATACATGCAGTGGAACTGTCTTGAAAAGAACTTCTTTAAAAGTGGTAATGAGCCCGTAAACAACGGCGGCTAAAGTGTATAGATACTGAAGGGGATTGTATTGAAAAATAATACAATATGTCTGTCAAAAGTCAAACTTTAAATATGAGGCTCACAACTCATCAATAAGTCCTCGTAGTAGCTGATGGCTACTTCAAAGAACAAAATACAAGCAATAAAAACAATGTAGTTTCAGTGTCTTAGCCATGATTGGTTTATAGTCGTTTTACGTCCTATTAACAGCGGCATTGAGGGATGTGCCAGGTTTGGATGATGGAGGAAAGACCTGCAACCGTACCTGGCGACTGCCCCACAGAGGACTCGAACTAGCGACACAGAAATGAGGGCCAGTGATAAAGACGATTAAAGGCCTTAACATACAAAGGAAGATATAAAAAACGCAAATCACCCTAGGTACTGTCAGGCGATCAACATTCCTCGCAATGTTACATCATGTTGCAAAATCAAACGTTCTTCTTACTGACCTATATTGAGCCCAATTTAAGGCATACTTCATCCTTTCATTTCATTCAATCTTGAATATTAAATAAAACCATTGACTGCATTTTAGAATAGGTTGTATTGTTGTTATTGATGTCATGAAAACATTCTAGATTTCACAATGTTATAGATGATGGTTTGTATGAAATACAAGTTGACATTTTTTTCTCAATCAAATGTAATGAAAAACTAAGGTGACAGCGATAAGACTAATGGAGGAAAATTCAGACAAGTAGTATATTTTAACAGATATCTGTTAATTTTTACCAAGATAATACATATGGATAACGTGTTATGTCTTCCAGACGTTCTCTCTCTTTCTAGGAAACCTACATAAAGGTCAGCTTACGCATGTCTTGACTTCACATCGACCACTCAAAACAGGATCATGGCATCATTTCATGCATTGTAACCGCTATATTAGGATAAGGATTGATTTCTATGTGCATTTTACAATTTGCATATCATCATTTACGATACTGATTCCCTTCTGATATTGCTTGTCTATAATAAAAAAAAAACTAGTGGCACTTTTTGTATTTGATTTCAAATCCCCTTTGCTGTTATTACTTTTCCCGTCGCATGAAAGATATGTTTCGGAAAATCTAACTATTTTGACCATCTGCATAGTGCCTAAGTCGTTGACATACCTGAAGCTGTAAATATTTACTGCAGCTGGAAATTCGTGTAATTTTACTCTGTAGTATCCTTGTTTGTACTACTATTCCGAATAGTTTGAATGTTGTTTCCCACTTTATGATCGTATAAAGTGTTTTATTCTGGTATGTCTCCCGGCTTTACCACTGGATACCCTTCATCACTTCGGTGTCCTTCACTGTATACCAACCATTTCACTAATATCACTTTAGTGTCCCTCTGAACACACCAACCGTTTAACTAATATCACTTTGGCGTCCTTCACAACATGTAAACCGTTTAAAACTGAAATCTTTTTCTCAACATATCGGTATTTATCTCTATATAGTCTTACATATACATACATACACGTTTTCTCCATGCAAATTGTGCTGTCTGGAATCATTCAATCAATTCCAGCTAAAAAATTGAAAAAAATAACAGAACACATATTTTATCAGAAAAATGTAATTTGCGTATTTGGCATATAAGGCATTAGTGTGAACGTTACTCGACTGATTTGTGGTAAATGGACATTTTTAACAAATTCATACAAGACAGCACATGAATAAAATGACAACATGTTATATCCGTTATTCTATCGAACAACTATGGTTCTCATTCATACTGAATACAATACAATCTGCCGGAATTATACAGTTTTCTTTACTTTCAGTTCAATTATATCAGAACAGACAGAGCCAAATATACCAACCATCCCATGGGAGATCAGTTTATTGAGATACAGGTTCAGATAGTAAGGTACATTACTCAAAAAATATGATGTATCGTTTAAATGGGAAGTTGGATTAAGACAATATTGAATCATGGACAGTCACAGAGAAACATCTAGTTACGACCCCCTCATAATGCCCAGCTACCACCCCTCAGTTCAATATAACGGTATGAAGCGAGATTCAAACTATGCCTCTGTTCAGTTTTACCACTGATACGAAAAGTAGAGACATGAACATAACTGATACATGGACAAGATATCGAAAACGTAAGATAAAAATAGACTTCATCTAAAATGAACAGAATTACACATTTTGGATTTCTGAAGAAGTGACAAGATAATGAACAATAACATGTAACAATGTAAACTGAAATTTATAATAATATTACGAGGAGCTCATCGTTATAAGCAAACGAAAAAGCATCTGAGTAATGATTAATAAAAAAATCACTGCAGAATTCAGGGACAGTTCACGGGTTTATGACTTCATCAATAGTTTTATAATATGACATCTTTTGTATGGTCATTCTTCAAATTGGTATTGCAAGATAATTCTTACTTTCACATTTTTTAGTAATATATTTCCGACTAGTAAACATGGTTTGGGCTGTATTTTAGGGGTATTAGAGATGTAGTATCATGTTAAGTAAAGACTGCATTGATATTTGACCAGAAACGCTGGAGGTAATTAGTAGATTCTAAAATCGAGATTCCTTATAAGGACATGTTTCCCTCCACGATACATACTATATGGGGATAAATATCGCTAGCTATTTCTGTGAAGTATTATCTTTTGTTATTCAAAAATTGAAAGATTTGACTTCAATACATCTTGCATCTGAACGCGATTAACACTTTACTGCAGTCTTCGTAAACAAGAAAAGCATCAGTAATCTATTTCAGCCTTCTTCTAATCAATGATTACAATTGTTTCCCTCCACACACCTGTAGTTGACTGACAACTTTACATTACAATGTATTATACACATCAAACGATGCCGCGTCTTTGAAGATGGAAACAATTCCTGGTTCCCAGTCACAATTGTCTCAGCATCTGCATCAATAATTGATAATCTCGTATGTTCTTTCATGTAATCAGTTGTCAAAACACTACCAAGTCATAGAGGTTCTTGGCCCTATTATACACCGCACCAGTTATTCTGTCGACTTAAGTACACTGTTCGTGCTTAACCAGAAACTGCCATTGATTGACAATAGGAAGTAATTCCAGGAATCGTTTCCCATTGCTTTTGGTAGTTTCTATCTAAGATCACACACAATTGTCATTTTTATTCTATTGTTCTGTTTTTCAAATGGGCATTGTCAGGTTGATATTATATCATACATTTTCCTTTGTATATATAACGACCATCTTGCTTAAATGGTTCATGGTGATACTTAATGTTACAACTATATTGTACGACGCTTAAAAGTTTTTTGTGCTTTAATAGTTTATAGGTACGTCAGAGAAATAAGGTATTTTAATAGTTCATTATCATACAATGGTAACATATAAAAGACAAGTACAGGGCATCACTATAAGACGGCGTGGTGAGATCGATTATGTCTATCTATCACATTTTTATGTGTGCAATGTGTTTATCCTGTGCCGCAGTGGCGTATATGATATGATTTGGCAGTTTTTGGTGATGAACTCAAATTCGAAATCCACAAAATCCACTTAAGTTTTCAAAGAATACATTAAAAACACAGATATACCCTATTTAGTATGTTTTCTTCGATTTTTTGGAGTTATTGCTGTTTTAGTAAATTTCTTTTATAGTACCAACATCTTATTTCATTCGTTCTTAATTTGTTTCGCATAGATTCTTTTGTTCATATTTGGCCCTAGTTTTATGGGATTTTGAATTATGATTACGTTGCCATGTTGGTATATTCTTGAAGTTTTTGTTGTATAAATCAAATAAAACGATTAATTAAACTATCACAAAACACAGTAATGACAATATGAACTTGAAAAAATTGACGAAGAAATAGCGATAAGAATATTATTTAGAAATATTTAAAATGCACAAAGTCGAATTTTCAGTTCAGTGGCAGTGGGTCAAAAACCATTGTGAGGATATTGATATTGTTAAGACATTTTCACTGTCCCATCATTATTCTATTCCACGTGACTTATCATGCATCAGTTCACATGATCTCCGAAACGATTCAAATCGTCTTAGCTCATTTCTGGCATTTATGAAAAATGTTTTACTAGAAAATATACTTTGTGCTAAAAATAACGAGTGGTTCCGAATGCTGTCGCTAAGTTACTGGATATAACTACTACAAAGATCAGACAGATAATGGAAATGAAATCACTCACCAATTGATCAGACACAACAATTCATGATAATGGCGGGGTTGAAGTACATACAAACAGTAATTTGAAAAAAATATGTAAATATGAAATTTCCTTTTTATATTATTTTCTGTGTTTTGATGTTAATGAGATTGTGAACAAATTAATTTTTATTTATGAAATAATGTAAGAACTTTAGGTAGGAGTGGAGTATACACAAATTTGTTTAAATCTCTATAAAAAGAAAAAAGACATATGATAAAAGTTCCCCGGGATGACATACATGTAATTGTGATGTATAAGATAATTACAGTTTCCATTATTCTGACGTCACAAGTGTTTTCCGTTTCTTCTTTATCTTTTCCTTTAATGATGGGGCTAATTTAACAGTCTGTGGTCTATCGAAGAGTTGCTCAACATTTTCTGGGCTAGATTTGTAAGTCTGTATAATTTCTAGCTGTAAAAGTTGACCTGACAGTACGTTCACTTCCTGTTCGAGTTTTTCTAAACCGTCCGAATAACGATCAAAGTCCGTTTTATAGGCTTCATAAGATTTTTGGTTTGTTTCTACTTTTTCACGTAACAGGAACTTTTCCTGTTTTTTCACCATCATCTGATCCTCAACATCAGACAACTCTCTCTCGATCGACATCAAGAATTCTTCCAAGTCATGTACTTGTTTGACGAGACGCTGACGCTTCATCTGAAGGTTATAATTTTTCTTTGTTTGCGTCAATGTAATTTTCAAAAAGTCGGCCATACTTGATTTTTGTGATTTTTCAGTGTGTTTTGTTTTCTTCTCCGTCTTAAAACCACTTAGTTGCACCTCTAAATTATCTAACTCCATCTCAATCTTTTGGAGTTTTTGTCGGTTGTTGTGAAGTAATATGTGTGCAGTTTTAACGGCCTTTTCAATCTTCTTTTGTTTCTCTTTTTGATTTTTCAGTACTTCCTCTCTCTTTTTCGTCATATTTCGTGTCTTTTTGATGTAATTGTTCACCTCGTCCATATATTGTTCGTCTCGGTCTAGCCATTTCCGTGAAATATCACAGAGTTTATTCACCTTTGCTGTTAGATCTGGAACCAACCGAAGAATAGGAAATGCTTTCAAATCACAGCTCACCATTAATTTGTCCGAGAACTCCGAATCCGTGTATAAGTCTTGATGAATGCCACTATCGTAGCTCTTCAATAGAAGTCGAATGTTTGTTATCTCCCTTTCCAAACCGGCTATATACGTCGAAATCTCCTCCATATACCTATCCGACACTTCCAAGTTGATATCGGCATTGTTATAACTTGTACAACTCTGATTAAGTCTTTGTAACACATCCGTTTGGAATTTCTCAACAAGCATCCGTAACTCCTCCACCGTTCGTTTCACATTTTCCCAAAATTCTGTGATGAAAGTTATCTCCCCCTGGTCTACATCCGCTACCTCTCGTAACTTATTGATAACTCCTACAACTTTCATTTCACTATCTATAACATTAAGTTTGACATTTTTCCGACGAAGTTCATTATTTGCCTTCAGGAAATTTTCATTACACTTTTTAAGATAGTCTTCACCTTTTTCCTCGCTCACCTCTTCGCCGTCCTTGCCGTCGTAAAACGACACGCGGACGTGGTCTACATCCCGCTCCATGTCGGAGATTTTCGTACGGATAAATTCGAGCCCGTCCAGATAAGCCCTCTGGATTCCCTCGCGCATGGATGTCATCATGGCTGGCTGTTTCAAGGTGTTCTGTAAAGACAAACATCATTTTTCAGTATACTGTAGTAAAAATTCAGACTGCGAACTATAAGGTTTCAAAAGGAATCAACCTGGTATTAGTCCATGGTGTGGCTATACTACAAAGGAATCTTTGAAAAAATAAAACTTAGGCGCCTAGTACCATCTTGTTTGGTCCAAACCATTCCTCGAAGCTTTTTAATAAGATGCAAGCGTCACGCTTGTTGGAAACGGTCAACACATATTCCAATAAAATATCATTTAGATACTAAAATCGATCACTTCTATGTACATATGCTACCAAGCAGTAAGACATGCCGTGCAAATACCTGCGCCATACATCAATCATAGAAGGGGGTCATTATCAGTTGATAATCATCTAGCCTTGCCTCTAAAGTGATTTTCATTATCCCAGTCCAGGAATACAAGTTTGCATATATTTGTATAATGATGCTTGGAAACAGATGATATACCCCAGGGAAAACCCAAAAAATGGCGATGAAGCAGATTGAAACATGCAGAAGTGTTCTTTAATGTTTCTAGTCATAGGAACATTACTTTGTTTTGCCCGTACATGTAAAGTTGCTTGCGGTTGCACTGTTAGGCACGTGAAGTTTATAATGATGTGCTAATCACAACTCGATGAACAACAAGTAATTTACAGTTCACCCTGTGATTGTACGCATAACGTCACACAAAAACGTTGAAACCACCGGGGATGTATCGATTTTTTTTATCATTGATCGGAAAATCAATAATTGTAGACGTTTAGGCGATATTCCCTTACAACAAATAACCTTTCAATGTTGGGATAAGTACAATATATAAAACTTTCTACCTGTGGACATATTCTATTTGACCACTATCCCAACCTCCTAGAATTCCCAAAACACTTCTTTGATCCTTCAGTTAGTTATTAATATTTAATGAAAAGTGTTGTTTTTGTTTTGTTTGATATTGGAGAATCCATGTTTGTGTACTTAGCTTTTACCCTGATAGCTTGGTGGTCTGACTCTGACCTTCCTATTTAAACATGACCGGTGAAGGCAGTAGTCGGCTACCTCTGGCTGGTCTTTAATTTGTATGAACTGTTGGTGATGAATGCCTCCTTATCCTACCTTTGACATTCTAGATGGATATGATTCTAGAATTGATTTCCGTGTGAGAGGAATGGTACGTCATGATGGTCATCATTGAAACACCACAGCTGTAGATAGCAGTGTTTGACTTGGCAAATCTGGCACTGCGTTGACGCAGGCTCGGCAAGGCCTTGATAAGGGATTTTCTGACATAAATAACACGGGTGACAGAACAGGGTGGATACATGTGTTTATAACTCCGATATCAAAGCTATGAATACCCTACAATATTTGTTACTTCGAGTGCTAAATATATTTTACTTATCATCTTGTATTTCAGCACTGATCGGTTTAATACATATACGTAAATAGACAGTTGACATAAAACAGAGGTAGAAAGATATATAACACGAAATGTACAATATCACATCCAGCTAAAAGAAGACATCATAAATTTGATAAATAGCACGTTTTAATTAGTGTTTAGTTTCAACAACAGATTAAGGTTATTGTCTGTCACCTCTCTGTTTCAATAAGACATAAAAAGTCAAAACATGACCTGACAGATCAGGTAAGACAGCCAAAAATACTGCTTAAATGCGATGCGACAAATGTGACATATATCCCTTTTACACAAGATTCGCCTGACAATGTTTCATCAACAGCTCTATAGTACTTTTACACGCTTGATGATACTTATTGAAGTACCTGTCGAGTTCTACTGATGATTTCATATAAAAATGGTTAAATATTGATATAGCGAATCACGATACAATACGAAATTTATCGGATTTATAATGCAACGAATATGAGTAAAAATCAACTGATACATCAACATCAGTGGTATTAAATGTATGTCATTGTCCTCGGCATGTACAACCAGTTCACCTGTATCAATAGCCTTGGTTTAACTCGAATTCTATTAACAGCCCACATGTATCAATAGTCTTGGTTTAACTCGAATTCTATCATTAGTCCATCTGTACATGTCACTAGCTCACCTGTATTAGTAGTCTGGGTTTAACTCGCGTTCTGTCACGTTCCTTTCAGCGACCTTTAACACGCACTTGTAGCAATACAGATCAACATATTCATTATTACTGCATTTAAGTACACTGCACTCTAAGGTATATCGAACAAGCGATAACCAAAAAGCTACCAAAGTGTTAAACTTCACCAGACATTGAATATGAAGTACTCTGTATCGTGATATTCTTTGTAGCGTGTACGAATAATTGAAAATAAAGAATTAAATGAGGTTTTGCTATTTACTACCACAGCCTTCACCAATAGTTGGTGGTATTATTTTATCATAATCGGTTTTGTTTTACCGGAAAAATCAGGGGTTTTTTTTATAATCTGTTTTCTTTTGTTTTTTACGTCGTTGTAAACCTAGTTCTAAACTGAAAACCTGACATTACTGACTGATTGACTGAGGTTTACTGAGGGGATGTTGTCGATAAAGCAGAAGACACTCACTCTTCAGGAACATCTGGTCTTACAATACCTGCACTTTTCAGAAAGCTTCCGTGAAAATATTTCTTTTGTTCCATTTTTGCACTCTTTTTATTGAATTATAGTTTGGATTATGATTGTGTTGACGTGGTATTTTCTTTATTGTTTTTGGGTTTGGCTTTTAAGATTGATCATCAAATCATGATAGTCCGCCTTAATTGTCATAAACAGATGAAAGCCAATAGTATTTAAAGACACGCTAAATAACTGGCAAAGTAGGTCAAGGATTCATTTTTATGCTGTTTATGAAACTCTTTTTGTCGCTGAAATATTTTTAATGTCTATATACATATTTGACTTTGAATTAACAAATGCTATACTGAGTTATCGATTAGATTGATCTTAGATCTTTATATAGTCTTATCGCTCTGCAAATAGGATTACATATAATTTGAACTGTCTGCCACGAGAGGTACGCAATGTGATTTATCATGTCTTATAAAACAAGTGTTATGATGGTATATTGACAGGAGAATCTACGCTGAACTGAGATCCTCTCTCAAACACAGTTGGTGTATTAGGCTTCATACTAGAATACATGGTAGCCAGCGTACGTCTTAACTATGTACGTGTCGAGAAGTACTCAATATTCCACATGGAGATTATATGACTATGAAGCAATTTTACATCATTTTTACATGTGCCAAATCTATAAACCATACTATATATACACAGCGTGCTGAAACATATATATACTTGAACTTCCCCAGGTATATAATAGGATATTTGATAAATCGGTGGTAAAAGTCGATATACACTTTACTTTAAGTTTGACATCTCGTTAAACAAAGACTTTTCAATGTCCTAGCTTCAATGTAAGTGCGACATCATGTACGTGCAATGTTAAAGTCCTTGTGCACGCAGTTTAGTCGAGCACCGAGTACTCGTGTTCAACGTGAGCTATGAGAATTCAAAGTGGATTGTATCTTGGTCAAACAAAATTAAATGTATTGATAAATCGTATATTGACCACCGTTTTAATAACAATAAACGGAAGTTATATTTCATTATCCATAGCCAATATTGAAAATACAACCCATGTATGATACAAAGTACCACACAATAATTATTACCTTAGCTTATGCTATGTTTTGGTCCTTTTTCCCTTTTAACGTTTTAAAGCAAAGCTTTGACAACAGGTTTCAAAGTAAAACACGGCAATTGACTTTCGGTTTAGATGACTCATAATGCGTTATCGAGTTCCTGTCCTACCTATTACGTGTGTTTTTGTAGCCTATGTGTTCCTTTAATTGTACATAGGAGTGAATTTGCTGTTAAAATTTGTAAAACATCACATGATAATCATATCGTCGTAATTTGGTCTACCTCCTACAGAGATTTTTATTTCTCTTTAGGACACCGCGTGTATACTTCTAGTAGAGATATGTGCCTAATGACTCGACAGCCATATCTATCAGGCCAAATGTGTGAGGGAGTGCGACATTAAATGACTCTGATAACCCATATTTAAACATTCTCTCGGCGTTGATTTTTTGAAGATTGTAAAACTCATTTAATTAATAAGTGCAGAAAGCATACAGGCATGTCCGCTCATTTTATTTCCGTCATTCAATGTTTTTGAACATTTCAAAATATTGGCGATCTTAGTGATAACTTTTTTTCCAATTTAAACTTGTTTTAAGGCAGAACTTTAATGGAAGTCAAAATAGAGTCAACTATATTAAAGGGTCATAAAAGAAAATTATTTTTTAATTAAAATTTCATATCGAAGACGAAGTGTTTAAAACCCAGTTCGCAGGAATACGATTTCTTGTGAAATGTAAATTAAATTTAATTAAATCTAAAAATAGCTCCAAACACCTTGCAGTGATGCTTTTGATAAACAGTTGTTGTTCGTTAACAACGATACTGCAAGACTAGGCGCCAAATCTACAAATGTACATGGAACTCTTACAATTTACAAGGACGACATGGCAGTACAGTACTGCAGTTAGGTATCTTCACTTCATAGAACTATGAAAGCATTGTAACGTATTTTCCCAAGCTTTGTTTAGACGACAAAACAGATATGATAAGATAAATACTGCAAGACAATCAACCAGGAACTGTCACAATTATAAATGTAGAATATCGATAATAATACATTGTACAATTATCAGGCTTAGGAAAACATTTACAACACATTATTGTATGGACCATGGTTATGGACCGTTATAGACTAACATAACTTCATGAGACATTGTGTACAGACACTATATTAATGGTGTTTGTGTAGAGAGTAGTAAAATAGCCAACAAAACCCCAGCTGGTTCATCTCTCTGAGTGCAGAGTCAGGATGTTGCGTCACTTTCTAAAGACCCTAAACCTAAGATATAACGTTAGGTAAGTGTTCCGTCGTCATATATTGTCAGTTTTAATACCAATTTCGATTAT